TCATGCTCATTGCTTCAGTGATGCTATCTAACCATCTCATCCTCTGCCGTCCTCTTCTCCTTTTGCCTTCAATCTTTTAAATTATAGCATAATGTAAATTTCAGTCCTCTCAGCCACATATTTTCCCATTGTTCCATCAGTATATTATATCCAAAGTTCCCAGCCCATTTATCATACTCTTTCACTTGTTCTTCAGTTTGAAATTTCAACAAAAGTTTATAGATTTTAGCAATTACAAGTTCATCATTTGTACATAGGTCAATTTCAAATTCTGACTTGTGCTATTCAATTCCAAATGTTCTCTTATCTACCTTAAATCTTTCTCTTAACTGTGCAGATGAAAACCATTGAAAACTAAATCCCTCTGCAGTCAACTGATTTCTTGATTTCATCTAATATTCACCATACTCGTGTAAAGCTCTCTCTATATGTTAACCATCTCTCTTTGCCTGCTGTTTCTTCTCTATAAAATCCTTCTTGTGTTGAGACCCATTAAGGCATTTTCAGGCAAAATCTGGGTTTATATCTATTCCATATTCTCAATATGGCACTTCTAATATAGTGATTTTTAAAAGCTACATTAACCTTAACTTTATCGCACCATAGAAAGCTATGCCATTCAAACCTCAGGTTGTGCTCTTCTAGTTCTAAGATTCTCTTATTTCTCAGCAGCACCTACTTCTCCATCCAAACCAAGCAGCAGGCTGCAAAATACAATTTCAAATCAGGCAGTCCCAATCCTCCTCATTCCTTTACATCTTGGAGGATGTTATATTTAACCCTTGTCATACAAACCTAGATATATTTTTCTGCCATTCCTTAAATGGTACATTAGTTGTCAAAATAGGTATTGTTTGAAACAAAATCATCATTCTAGGCAATAAATTCATTTTCATCACATAACTTCTCCCCAACAATGGCAATTATAATTTCTCCCATTGCTACCTCCTTAATTTTATTCCATGTCTTAACATAATTGTTATGAAATAACATACAATTCATATTAGTCATAGTAATACCCAAGAATTTCACTTTTTTCTCAATATTAAAACCAGTGTTTTCCATCAATTGCTTTTGCTCTTCCATCCTCATGTTTTTGTTAACATCTTCATTTTCTCATTATTAATTTTAAATCCAGCTAATGCACCAAAATCCTTTAATTTTTCCATTAATATTTCTATTCCTTCCAAAAGATTTTTCAGAATTATCACCAAATATTGGCAAACACCTGTAATTTATGTTTCTCTTCTAATCCTCATTCCAGCAATTCTTTCATCTTGTCTTATATCTCTATTCAATATTTTCAGAGCTAAGATGAGTAACAATGGTGACAAGGGACGTCCTTGTCTTGTCCCTTTCTGTATTTCACAAGGTTTTGTTAATTCTCTGTTTACAATTATCTGTGCCTTTTGTGAAGTATACATCGATTTTACCTATTTAATAAAATTCTCACCAAAGTCCTTATCTTCCAAAATTTTAAACAATAAAGTCCAGTTCAAATTGTCAAAGGCCTTTTCTGCA